ACTCAATTATCTCCCGCACTTCTTTCTTCACTTCTTCGTAGCCCTGCGCTCCGCAAACCCTAAACCCTAAACCCTAAACCCTAAACCCTAAACCCCAAACCCTGGTCACGACGGGTCTCAGTATCGCAGCCAAACAGCGCAGCCCTTCGGAAGCTTCGCAAGCGCTAGGCCCTAGACCCGGGCGCGTAAACCCTAAACCCTAAACCCTAAACCCTAATTTGTGGTTTGGAGACCTTCACGCTGTCGAAGGAGTCTTTGATGTCTTCGGGGGAGACAATTCTGTCTTCAATCCATTTGCTGCTGCCTGCTGCTGCTCCTAAACCCTCGCCCTTTAGTGCAGCAGCAGCAAGACGCAGCAGCTCGGACAAGCAGCCAACCAGCAGCAGCACGCCGACGAAGGGAGACAGCAGCAGCCGGTAGCTGCCGTGGCTGCAGGCAGCAGCACAAACCCTAAACCCTAAACCCTAAACCCTAAACCCTAGCCCCTGCGCTGCAGCTAGTCCAGCTAGGGTTTAGGGTTTGGGCTTTACATGAAACCCTTCAGCAGGCTCCAGACGCCGTGCAGAAGACGGTAAGATCCTTGCTGCTGCTTCTGCTGCTGCTGCTGCTGCTGCTGCTGCGCTGCCCCCCCCGCTGCGGTGCTCTGCGCAGCAGGAGACACTCTTGCTGCTGCTGTAACAGCAGCAGCAGCAGCAGCTGCTGCTGCTGCCACAATGTTGTCATCATTCCCTGGCTTGCGCTGCTGCAGCAGCAGCTGCAGCAACTGGTGCAGGTCCGCACTGCTGCTGCGGCTGCTGCCTGCGTCTGCTGCTGCTGCTGCCTGGAGACACTGGAGCACGAGGTGGTCCGGCACAGGAGCAGCAGCAGCAGCAGCAGCAGCAACCAACGACACTGCTTCTGAGGCCCTTCCTGCTGAAATTAGTGCTGCTGCTAGCCGCTGCAGCAGCGCCATATCATTTGGCCGCAGCCGCTGCGCCTGCTGCAGCTGCTGCAGCTCTTCCTGCTGCACCGCTCCCGGCGATCCTGCTGCTGCTGACGCTTGCTGCTGCTGCTGCTGCGGCGCTGCAGCAGCAGCAGCAGCAAAAGGCTTGCTGAAATCCACCATTGAGAAAGAGGGCTTAGAGAAGGGGTCTGACGCAAAGGAGGCTGCTCGTTGCTGCTGCAGCAGCTGCTGCTGCTGCAGCAGCAGCCGCTGCTGCTGTAGACAAAATGGACTAAGAAAGAACGGGGTGGACGGGAAACTGTGCAGAGCGCTGCTGCTGCTGCTGCTGCTGCTGCATCTGCTCGCTTCGATGCGCTGGCGCCACAGCTTGTGCGGCGCCCAGCCGCTGGGGCCGCTGCTGCTGCTGCTGCTGCTGCTGCTGGTGCGGCTGCTGGTGCTGCTGCAATCATTACTGGTGCAGCAGCTGGGATCGACGGTGCTTTTGCTGCTGCTGCTGGGGCAGTAGAATGGTGCCCTCGCAGCAGCGAAGGAACCTGCTGCAGCAGCAGCAGCAGGAGCTGCAGCAGCGGCAGCTGCTGCTGCCGCAGCTGCCTGCTGCCGAGTCAGGCCGCGCGCAATTGTTGCTGCTGCACTAATGGACCTGGAGAAGAAGGGCTGGGCTGCAGGAGGACTTGAAGTTGCTGCAGCAGCAGCAGTCGCCGTTGCTGCAGCAGCAGCAGCAACGCGCATTGCTGCTGCTCGTGCTGCTGCTGCGGCGGCCCGCGGCAGCATCGATGAGTCTGCTGCTGCAGAAAGCAGTAGCAGCAAGGCTTGCTGCTGCCGCAGGCACCCCACAGAGCAGCAGCTGCCCCTGTCGCTGCACCAGAACAGGATCTAGACTACTTCTCCCGCAGCTGCTGCTGCTGCTGTTGCTGCTGCAGTTCAGCAGCTACTGCGGCTCTGCAGCTTTTGTGTCTACTTTCCTTTTTTTAATTAGTTAAATTTGTGTCTCTTTGCTGCGGCGGCAGCTCGAACGCTCTTCCGCTATAGATCGGCTGCTGCTCCGCGTCACATGGGGCCCAAGCAGCAGCAGCAGCAGCAGCTGCTGCTGCTGCTGCTGCTGCGGCGACTTTGCGGCTGCCTCATCGACGCCGACTGCTGCCAACTCTGCTGCTGATGCTGCTGTCTCAAAATATATTTCTTGCTGCTGCTTCATTAATTGTCTCTTTTTACTTTTCTTTTCTTCACACGTTTCGTTAGTTCCGCCAGGTGTACATACACTGCAGTCGCAGCTGCTGCAGCGCCGCCGGCAGCAACCTGAGCAGCAGCAGCAGCAGCAGCGTTAACAGCTCTGCAAGTTTTTAACTCTGAGAAGCAACAGCAGCAGAATTGTTCTGCTGCAGCGGCGTTTCTCTTTTCGCAGTAATCACTGCAGCAGCAGCAGCAGCAGCTAATGGAGGGCTTCGTGCCTGCCGGCTTGCCGTGCTGCACAGGGGAGAAGAAGCTGCAAGGCAGCAGCAGCAGCTGCAGCTTTCCTTTTTCGGTGATTTCTTCGCTGGTGGGCAGCAGGAACGCAGCAGCAGCAGCAGCAGCACCAGCAGCAGCAGCAGCAGCAGAGACCATGATGGGCCCCCGACTCGACGAACACCACCGCAACCTGCAGGCCGTGCTGCAGTACTTGCATCATTCGGGGTTTGCTGCTGCTGCTGCAGCACTAGAGACAGAGTCAGGTGTCTCCTGCATCCCCCATTTCTTCCAGTTCGCAGACACGTGGCTGCCGCAGCAGCAGCAGCAGCAGCAAGCAGCAGCAGCAGCAGCAAGTGCAGAAGACGACGATGAAGAACTCCTGCAGCAGCTGCTGCGGGGGGAGCCAGTTCTTACAGCAGCAATGAGGGCCCTCGAGCAGCAAGCCAACATCCTGCGCAGCAGCAGCAGCAAGAACAGCAAAGTTGCTGCTGCTGCTGCTGCAGCAAAAGCAGCAGCAGCTTCTTCGATTCCGGATTTGATGGGAGCCTATGAGTTGCTGCCGCCAATCAACGGCTTCCAAGTCCTGCCTCCACAAAAGCAGCAGCAGCAACAGCAGCAGCAACAGCAACAGCAGCAGCAGCAACAGCAGCAGCTAAAAGCAGCAGCAGCAGATGCAGCGGCTGCTGCTGCAGTCGCATCAGCTTGGGGCAACCTCGATGCGAGGGCCTCGCGCACCTGCTGCTCACAGCCTCTTTGTCTTGCTGACGGCAGCAGCAGCAGCAGCAGCAGCGACAGCAACCTTTGCAGCAGCAGCAACGGCAACAGCAGCAGCACGGGAAGCAGCAAGAAGGGCAGCAGCAGAAGCGAAGCGCTGCAAAACGCAGTGTACGTACAGGAGGACAACATCCTTTGCTGCAGCTTCATCGACGACAGCAGCAGCAGCAGCAGCAGCAGCAGCGAGGCACTGCTGGCTGTAGGAAGTGCAAAGAAAGCCGTGCGTCTGCTGCGGCTGCGGTGTGAGCCGCCCCTCAGCAGCAGCAGCAGCAGCAGCAGCAGCAGCAGCAAGGTGGTGTCTTGTGAAGTGGCGTGCGAATGGAAGGGCCTGTCGTCGCCTGTTATAGCTGTGGCTGTCCGCAGCAGCAGCAACAGCAGCAGCAGCAACAGCAGCAGCAGCAGCAGCAGGCTACCCATCTTAGCTGTGGGCATGCTTGATGGGGGACTCTGCCTTCTGCAGCCGGTAAGCAGCAAACCCTAAACCCTAAACCCTAAACCATAAACCCTAGTTGGTTGAGAGCGAGCAACGAGCTTCGCCTGTGAGGGCTGTTGTCTCTTCAGGTCACCCAGGCCCCAGCAGCAGCAGCAGCAGCAGCAGCAGCAGGCCGCGTGCTGCAGCAGCTGAAACCCCACAGCAAAGCCATTGTTGGCTGCGAGTTTTCCTTTGAAGGAGACAGACTCGCAAGTGTCTCCAGAGATGGATCTGTTGCAGTGAGTGTTTAAGGTTTAGGCTTTAGCTGCCAGCGCAGCAGCAGCAGCAGCAGCAGCAGCAGCAGCTAATGCAGCAGCAAGCGCAGGAGCAGCAGCTCGTGCAACAGCAGCAGCTAGGGCACCACCAGCAGCTAGTGGAACAGCAGCAGCTAATGGAACAGCAGCAGCAAGTGCAGCAGCAGCAGCAAGTGCAGCAGCAGCAGCAGCAAGTGCATCAGCAGCAGCAGCGTCGAGGATTGCTTGTGTCTGCTTATTTCAGGTGTACCTACAGCAGCAAAACTCTCCAGACTCGTTTGACCTTGTCTTCCATTACAATCTCCCGGACAGCGTGTGCAGCTGCCTTTGCTTCTTCCCCAGCAGCAGCAGCAGCAGCAGCAGCAGCAGCAGCAAGTGCAGCAGCAGCAAAGTTGCCATTGCGCTGCACGAGTCTTCTGTGATTGCTGCCTTCGATGTGGTGGAGCTGCAGCGAGCTGCTGAGGTTTTTTTCATAGATGATTTGGGCTGCTACGCGCAGCGGCAGCAGCAGAAGCAGCACCAGCTGCTGCAGCAGCAGCTGCAGCAGCAGCAGCAGCAGCAGCAGCAGAAGTGCGGGGTCTCCGTGCTGCGGATGGTCTGCGAAAGACAAAAGGGCTGGCTCTGCGCCTGTCTCAGCACTGGCATAGTAATCATATTCTGCGTAAAGACCCAGAGACAAGTACATTTGCTGCTGCTGCTGCTGCTGCTGCTGCTGCTGCTGTTTCTGGCGAAGCTGTTTCGTCTAGGAGCTGCAGCTGCTGCAGTCATTCAGACTCCCATTTAGTCTGCTGCAGCTGCTCTGGGGTTGCTGCTGCTGCCTGCTGCGGCGTCTTGCGTGTTACCTGCGCTGCTGCTGCTTTGCTGCTGCCGCTGCTGCTGCTGCTGCAGGTGCTGCGGCTGCATGTGCCTGACGTGGACTTCTACTCAACGCCTGCGATGGCCCTCAGCCCCGAAGGCCGTTACCTTTATGTGTCGACGCACAGAGTGAGAAATATAAGTCCATTTGCAAAATAAACAAATGAAAATACTTTATTAAAATTCAAGTCTTTTGTGCGTTTTGCAAATATAAATACATTAAAAATGCTTTTATAAATACAAATATTGGCAAAGCCTTTTTATCTTTGTCCTGTTCAAGTGCGAGAGTACTGCTGCGGCTTCTGCATGCTCAGATGCATGCATGCATGCATGCATGTATCTGAGGATTATAATGTATTTTGATCCATTTAAGGCATGCATTTGTGTCGGAAATACATATTTGCTGCAGTCTAATATCAAAAAAGTATATTTGTTGCAGTGAAATGTCGCAAGTGGATATTTTGTAAACAGATGCATGCGCTTGAGGTGTATGTACACCTCACTTGAGGTGTATTGACTCTGAAATAGAGCATGCATGTGCATTCATATGCGTCTAAATTAATTTCAATGCCCATATATTAAATATATTTTTTTTCTTGGTTTTTCGATAGCTAGCTGGCCAGCTAGCTGGCTAGCTAGCTAGCTAGCTAGTTTGTCAGAGGCGCCTGTCCGGCTTGCTTGTTAGCTAGCTACCTTGCTGGCTAGCTAGCTGCCTTGCTGGCTAGCTAGCTAGCTAGCTAGCCAGCTAGTAAGTTACATTTGGGAGTGTTTCTTTGTTGCTGTTCAGGTTGGCGGGGCTGAAATCATAGCTTATCCGCTGCCCGAAGCAGCAGCAGCAGAAGCAGCAGCAGCAGCAGCAAGAGAGCCTGCTGTGATAACTGCGTCTGCTGCTGCTGCAGTGCTGCGAGGGCCCCTGCAGCAAATCAAAGGCCTCGCCTGCCACAGCAACTTGCGCATGCTAGCTGCTGTGGGGCTGGACAAAGCAGTGTACCTCTTTTCCTAATTATGAGCAGCAGCAGCACCAGCAGCAGCAGCTGCTGCTGCTGCTGCTCACGAAGAGCAGCTACAACGCGAGTCTGCGTTGCTGCTGGGTGTCTCAAGTTTTTGAGCAGCACTTATTGCTGCCAAGGATTTAAAACTAAACTTTAAGGGCCCAGGCTGTAGTTTTTTCCGTTGCTGCAGCAGCTTTAGCTGCTGCTGCTGCAGCAGCTGCAGCAACGACAGTGGCTAGCTAGCTAGCTCCCTTCAACGCATGCTCTGATTATTTTAAAAAATCCATCGAATGTTGCTGCTGCTGCTGATGCCGTTTTAGTACAACGGCTGGAGAACCCAGCAGCAGCAGCAGCTGCTGTTGCTGCTGCTGCTCAGGTTGAGAGCGCAGATAAAAAATGTGCAGCAGCAAAAGCAGAGTTCACTGCAGCAGGAAGGCATTGCTGCTGCTGCTGGTGCTGCTACGAATGAGGAGAACACCAATGCAGAAGGAGACTCTTGCTGCACGAGCAGCAAGTTAGCTGCAGCAGCAGCAAACCAGCTGCAGCAGCAGCTAGCTACATTAGCAGCAAGCTAGTAAGCTAGGTACAGCAGCAGCAAGCTAGATACAGCAGCAGCAAGCTAGCTGCAGCAGCAGCAGCTCTGCTGCTGCAGCGGACCTGCGGCTGCTGCTGCAGCAGCAAATCAGTGCTCGTGGCACTCTACTGCTTCCGCTGGGAGGCGCCGCAGGAGCGAGTTTCTCTGCAGCAGCAGCAGCTCCCGCTGCAGCAGCAGCTTTCTCTTGGCTTGTGGGGAGGGTTGCTGCAGCAGCTGCTGCTGCAGCAGCGCATTTGTTTCGGTGTCCTGCAGCAGATGCTGCAGCTGCTGCTGCTGTTCCACTGCTGCTGCTGCTGCTGCTGCACTGTGCAGCTCGCTGCAGCGCCTGTAGCAGCGCAGGCTCTCCGCCCACACCTGCAGCAGAGCTGCTGCTGGCAGCTGCGCATGCAGCAGCGCCACAAGTACTGCTTGAGTTGCTGCTGCTGCATCAGAAACTGTGGCTGCTCCTGCTGCTGCTGCTGCAGCAGCGGAACAAGTCGGAGACTTGCCTGTTGCAACGGCAGCAACGCTGCTGCTGCTGCTGTTGGCCGGAGGCTTGAGGCTCTCCGTTGAAATTAAATGCGTGCTGCCTGCTGCTGCTGCTGCTGATGCTGCTGCAGCAGCTGCAGCAG